ATATCCAGAACTAGCTCATATTCCCACATTTCCGAAGATGGTTCTGCTTAGATTGCCTGTAATAACAATAAAAAAGTGGTTCCAAAAGAATGAAAGTTGGTAGATCAAAACAAATTTTAGAATATAGGTTAGTTTACCCCTGCAATTTATTTCCAGTGTTCTTAAGAAGGCTGCTTATTCACGTTTAATTGATTTTTAAATTTTAGCATCACTTTTGTGGGGAAAAGAAAGATCAGCCTGTTACTGTGACTATGTAGAAAGAAGTAGACATAAGAGACTCCATTTTGTTCTGTATTCGAGATGCTGTTTATCTGTGACCCTACCCCCAACTTTGTCCTTGCAAGAGACATGTGCTGTGGTGTGACTCAAGGTTTAAAGGATTTTGGGCTGTGCAGGATGTGCTTTGTTAAACAAGTGCCTGAAGGTAGTATGCTTGTGAAAAGTCATCACCATTCCCTTAATCTCAAGTACCCAGGGACACGTACACTGACAAAGGTCACAGGGACCTCAGCCTAGGAAAGCTAGGTATTGTCCAAGGTTTCTCCCCATGTAGTAGTCTGAAATATGGCCTCGTGGGAAGGGAAAGACCTGATCGTCCCCTAGCCTGACACCTGTGAAGGATCTATGCTGAGGAGGACTAGTATAAGAGGAAAGAAGGCCTTTTGGTGGTTGAGATAGAGAAAAGCATCTGTCTCCTGCCCGTCCCTGGGCAATGGAACATCTAGATGTAAAACCCGATTGTATGTTCTGTTTACTGAGAAAGGAGAAAACCGCCTTAGGGCGAAAGGTGGGACGTGCTAGCGCAATGCTGCTCTTTATGCACTAAAAAGATTTATGGAGATGTTTACATATGCATATCAAGGCACAGCACTTTTCCTTAAACTTATTCATGTCACAGAGATCTTTATTCATATGTCTTACGGCTGACCTTCTCCCTACAATGATCCTATTATCCTGTCACTTCCCTTTTTCTAAGATGGTAAAGATAATGATCAATAAATACTGAGGGAACTCAGAGACCGGTGCCTGTGTGGGTCCTCTGTATGCTGAGCATAGGTCCCCTGGGCCCACTTTTTCTTTCTCTATACTTTGTCTCTGTGTCTCATTTCTTTACTCAAGTCTCTGGTCCCAACTAACGAGAAACGCCCACAGGTGTGGAGGGGCGGGCCACCCCTTCAATTTTTTGCTTGTTATTGACTTTTCTGTTGAGGAGATTTTCAGTCTGCAATAAATAATTGCTTATATGGTTGATTCTTTGGAGTGTGGATGTTAAAAAACATGAACTGTTATGCCAACATATTTGTTAGGAACTCTGTAATTTGTTCCATTAAAAGTGGTGTTTAAAAATGACCTCCCCCCACCGATAATTACCGTATACAACTAGAGACATAATATAATTATATGTATTAATATGACAGTTACTAATAGAAGAGAGGTGTTATACATTACTGTCTTGCACAGTGTTAATGAGTCTGTCAGATAAAATATTGTATTTTGAAAATTGAATTGAATTATAAAACAATATGGCCATACTCTTTATTACAGAAGTTGAGGTGTAGACTGTGAAATATTACTCAGGGCCTGGATGAAAGGCTTAATATTCTTAGCATTTCAATGCTAAAAATGTAATTTTTTGAGGAATATATATATATGTTAATGACATATTAAATACCTATAGCCAAAAAAAGCACTCTCAATAAATGATGTTGTGAACATTGCTATATAGTTTGGCAATGGAAGCTGGACATTTATTTTGTAAGCATCCATTCATTCAACAAACATGTACAAAGCAAATAAAAACCAATAAATTTAAAACTCAGATCATATAAACTTGAGACAAAATATATAATGGATGTATTTTGGGATATATTTAGGATTTATTTTTACTGCATTTATTCTTAAGTTGCCCAAAATATGAGTATAAAAACATGAAAATGTAAACTACTTATTAAAAAGTTTTATTGCTATATAAAATTAAATTACATTACCAAATTATGGTTTTTTTATAAATTTTATCCTTAGAAGCTAATACTTTTAAATCTGGAATATCTTCTAAATCATTATGGAAAACATTAACACACAGTGGAAAAAAGAGAAAATGATTGAACAGAAACTTCACAGAAAATAGTTGAAAACATCATTGAAAATTAGTTGCTTAGATTTTACAGATCCCTCCCTTTCTTTCTCTTCTCGCCCTAATTTTCAGGTTGAAACAGAGATAAATCTACTATCTTATATAACTTGGCATTTGGATATTATATTATATTATATCCATATTATAGCCAAAATACATTATAGGGATAATGTTTCTTTACACCATTTTCGGGGTGATTTATTCAATTTGAACATATCATTTCACTGGATACAAAACGTGGAATAGAGAAAGAAACTTAAATGCCAGATCTGCAACCTGTGGTTCAGTCACTTGTACCCCTTCCCTCATTCTGAATTACTCTTTCCATTCTATCAGGCCACGAAAGTCACCAACTGCTAAGAGAGCTTACTGTTGGTGACTGTCATTCCCTTTGAAACAAGCTGCCCAGTAGAGTCTCATCTTAGTTACCATTAACAAAAATAGCCAAGAAAAATATAGGTCTCCTTACTATACAGAAATTGTGAGAAAAATTATTAGATTCAGCATGTGATTTGGCACCTTGGAAATTTGTTCCCTAGATCTTAAAGGGTGACCACCGCCTTCTGTTGCATTTGTTTTACCTATTTTACCAAGAATCAATTGCATTTATAATTAATATAAAGAGATGAAAACTGAGAATCTTGATATTTACTGAAGTGTTCAGATACAGAAAGATGTACACACTCTAGGTAATAAGAGAAGAGGATTTTCCTTGTACCCTGTGCATTGGAAACTGCAAGTCCTTCAGAAGCTGTGTTTGTTGAACCTAGTCTCATTTTCATGTCCACTCTCGTAGTCCTTACACTGTGCTTTTGCTGCTGGGGCTTGCAAACTGCATTCCCCAGATGTCCTTTCTAGCTGCCTTCCTTTTAGATTCCACCAGAGGAAGTAAGGGGATAAAGGTAGGAGGGGGAGAAGGGAAGATGGGAAAGAAATGGAAAAGAGAGAAGAAGAAAATCTCTTCTTGATTTTCCAGTTCCTCTTAGTGTGAATTTAGCCACAATGGATAGTTGGTGGATTCCAGCTTTCCATGATAACCTGTCCAGAGGCAGGAGCAGCCGTCTAGCACAGCCTTCTTTGGACCATGTCTGAGTGTGTCACAGGAAACTGGAAATCTGAGTCTTAACCCAACCTCAGAGGCCCTGACACACTGAGCGTTATGCCTCTTCCTCAAGGGATTAACATCGGCTGACTGAGCGGCTTCCATGAAGCTCTGATGTTCTGGGGACAATGTTTCTTCCCTATTGCCCTCCAATATCAAGAGCAACAGCTACTTCCTAAACTCAACAATCTTTAAATAATAGAGCATCACCTGTGTGCTCTTTTGGGTCTCTAATCATTAACATTTCATGAATTAGATACTGCAGAGCATTTGTTTCCCTAAGTAGACCCTGACTGCTAGAACACTCATGACAATGTGGACCAACTCACAGGTCTTGAAGGCTCTCGAAGTGCTCTAAATCTGCATAGTAATCCCAATATACTTACCATAAATTCACCAATATCTATTCATCCATGCATTTCATAAAAATAAAAGATTTTTTAAAAACTTCTCATATGCCACTGATGATGAAATAGATAAAAAGTTAAATAAACCCCAAGACTCAATGACTTCATTTAGATACACACTGAGTCACTTCCTGATGTCAGTAAGTACACATACATTGTGAAATTTTAATCTCAATAAAATTCCATGAGGTTAAAAGCATTATCCCATGTTAAAACGAAGGAAACCGAGGACCGAAGAAGGTAAATTACTTGACAAATTAAAAAGCCAGGGTCAAAACACCAATCTCAGTTTTGAAAAACTAAAACCTATTGCCTTTCTAATATTATTACAGACACAAAGAGAGAAGTTTAATTTAAACAAGTAAATACAATGAGGAAATTGACATAAGTTGTAATGGAGTCACAAAGAAATCATCAATGGTGCATATAATGTAATAGGGAATTAAGAAATGTGGTTTAGGTACATATGGAAAGAATAAAATAAAAGAAAGTTCAGCAAAAAAAAAAAAAAAAAAAAACATGAAAAGAACATGAACAGAGGTTAAAAGTCATCTTATAAGTGTCAGTAAGCATCTCTTCATCAATAGATTTTAGAGTTAGTATGAAGATGAACAGTAAAGATAAAGTAAGAGAAGAGGGTTAATTCAGAAATGCTGTGATTCATAATAATGGTTCTAAATTATTACCTGTACATATTTATATTATATATGTGTGTGTGTGTGCGTGCATGTGTGTGTGTGTGTATAATAGAGAGAGAAAAAACTAATAATTATGTTCCAGAGATTATTATAAGCTCCTTTTATGTGATTCCAGGTTCTTTAATGCAATGCCCCTAGAGTCCTGTGAAATTATTATTTTTGTCATCTATCAAATGACATAGTACCCAAAATTTCAATGACACTGGACTCTGCAACAGCAGAAACAAAATAATGAAGAATAAAACAAAATAAACAACAAACATAAAAAATCAAACAATGACAACTACATATATATTCATAGATATATGGAATTCTCATTCTGTACAAACTTTGACGATGGTGTAATCGTCATTATAAATAATGGAAATTTTATTTGTAAAAGAATCATAGTTTCCATAATGGATACTGAAATAAAATGTAACTCCTCTGAGTTCTTCATTAGATTTGTGAAGGTTTTACAGAAAATTAAATGTTTGTATCTTAATAATGCTGTGGCTCATATCCATTTAAAACATCTCAAATTTATTTTTACAAAAGTTGGCTGCAAATTGTAAAATATGTTCAATCCTATTACCTTAAATGTAAGAGAAACAAAGATAAGTGATTCAAAAAAGGCTCACTCATAACTACTGAGCTCCTTCTTCTCTCTACTACAACGCTGTGCCCCTCCCATGAACCCCCGCTTGCCACTACTTGGGAATCCTGAATTGTGCTAATAAAATCTTCCCTAGGAGTGAATTTTGTTCATCACTTTTCTGAGAGCTTCTTTCACATCCTTATTTCTCAGGCTGTAGATCAGAGGGTTCAGCATGGGAATCACGACCGTGTAGAACACGGTGGCCACCTTATCAGCATCTCCACTGTTGCCTGAACTTGGCCTGCAATAAACAGAAAGGATTGTTCCATGGAAGACAGTGATGGCAGTGAGGTGAGAAGCGCAGGTGGAGAAGGCTTTATGCCGGCCCTCTGCAGAGCGCATCTTCAGGATGGTGGTGAGAATTAGCAGGTAGGAGGTCAGGATGATCACGATGGTAACACTCTCATTTAAAGTGGCCACTAGGAACAGCAGTGCCTCATTCACAGTGACATCAGAGCAAGCAAGACTTAGGAGAGGGGGTAGGTCACAGAAGAAGTGGTTTATCACATTAGATCTATAGAAGGAGATCCTAAGAGCTAAGCACAAGTGAATCAGAGAACACACCATCCCACAGAAGTAGCAGCAAGATGCCAGCTCCACACGCAGCTTCTGAGACATGGTGACCGTGTACATCAGGGGGTTACAGATGGCCACAAAGCGGTCATAGGCCATCACGGCCAGCAAGAAGACCTCAGTGACCCCACAAGTGCAAAACAAGTAGAATTGCACCATGCACCCCAGGAAGGAGATGGCTTTGTCCTTGCTGAAGATATTAGCCAACATTTTTGGCACAATTATTGAGGAATAGCAGAAATCTACAAAGGACAAATGGCTGAGGAAAAAGTACATGGGGGTGTGGAGCTGAGAGCAGACCTGAATCAGTGCAATCATGCCCAGGTTGGCTAAAAACGTGACTCCATAGATGAGAAGGAACAGTAGGAAGAGGCCGACTCTCAACTCAGGGACATCTGATAGTCCGAGGAGAATGAACTCAGCCAGAGCAGTGCAGTTTTCCTTGCCCATGTCTCCAACTTATATGAGATTGGAGGAAAAAGAAACTTAAAAATTGTTCTTCATTATATAGTCTAAATTTTAGTTTTGGCTGTATCCTGTAAAAAGACATCAGAAAAAGTTGGATAGTTAATCTTATCAGCAAAGAATAAAACTTTTTGTGAAATGTTTAAAAGTCCAACATTGTGTAACACAAATGCATAAACTTAGTTTAGTTCAAAGATCAAACAAAAATATTAGCATTTATATGAATTTATATTGTTCTTTTAATTAGTCTTTCACAATTGACAGCTTTGCACTGAATCATTGGGAATGAGATCAACTTACTATTTAATTACCCTCCTTACTCTTTCAAATTCAAATCCCATTTTCTTAGTCAACGCCAAATATTGGGATCATAGAAAATAATATTTAGAATCTATGGTACCTCTCTCTGAATTTTTCATTACAGTGATAAGAAATACACTTATTTAAGATGTTAACAGTCAAGTGTTTGTATTTTACTGATATATTTTAGATGAAGAAACTCATTTTATAATCTGTATTAGTATATTCTCTGTAAAATTATCACGGTGATTTGGTTAATTACACTTTTCAGTGTCAGCCATGGTTTAGGGAATTGGTACTCTTGAGGACAACTTACTGTAACTATGATTCCTCAGTCTTAAAAAATTGTGTATTAAATAAATTTACTGCTTTCAATCTATTTGAAGACCTGATCAAAGATGTGCACAGGAAATTACTAGGAAAACTTCCCACTGCTGCTTTGCAGTATTATTTGTAATATTAAAACTTAGAAATAAAATATCAAATAAGAGAAGATGATCACAATTGTAGTGTGTACAATATAAAAGCATGCAGTTATATAAAGGATAACTTTAAATCATTTTAATGATATCAATAAATGACTGTGAAAAGGGATAAAATAGTTAAAAACAGCCAGAATGTAGAGAAAAAATATTATATATTATGATAATGTATAATATAAATATATATATTTATTCCACACACACAATCATATACTTAATCCTTGCAACATCCATGAACATAAATATTTATTTTAAAAAATCTATTAACTTGTCTTACTTCTCCCAAAGTATCATTATTATGGAGTGAAATGGGGAAAGAGGTTGGAATTTTTTAAATTAGGGACACATACTTTTCAGACCTTTGACACACAGCAAACGTAAAGTGAGGGTGAGAATCCTATCATTCTTTCTCTTCCTGACCCTTGATAGATCCATACATCATTGTAGAGGCACCAATCAAGCACTCCTGGAAGAAAAAAATCTGGACTAGAGACCAACACAGCCAGACATTTTTCCCATTCTTCAGCTGATTTCAAAGATATGCAGCGTGCATATTACTAAATGCCAGGTTGACAATTTTAAAAATTGTTTTGATGATATGGTTTTCTCTCTTAAAATGACCAGGAGAGGTGAGTTGTGTATCCTTCCCTGAGTCCAAACTAATACACACTTTTGAAAGTCCTTTCCTGCTTTCAAATCTAAAGAAAAAAAAATCAAGCTGTTAATTGCACACAGAGCAGTGATTCTTTGTCAAAAGTGACTTTGATCCCACTGGTGTATTTGTCAATGTCTGGGGACATTTTTGGTTGTTACAACAGGAAGGGAGTGCTATTGACATGTAGTGGGGATGCTGTTGAACACTCTCCAATGCCCTCTACAAAGCACATGAAGGCCCCTGCCCACAGCACACAAACAAAACGTTATCTGGACCAACATTTCAATGATGCCTTAGTTGACAACCCTGCCATAGAGAGGTATTTCGACATGCTTTTCACAAAGACAGAATAATTCCTCTTCTTTCTGCTTCAGAGGTGGTTCTCATGTCCATGACCCTCCATGTCCCTCCATGAACAGTCCTGTTCCTGTTGCCTTTTGCTGCCACCTTCAGCATCAAGGTGACTTTGGAGATAATCTCCATGCAGTGTTTACTAGGTTGTATGGACAGAGTTAGTGTGATAGAAGGGAAAGAGAGAAGGATAGAGAAAACAAATGTTCATCCCAATTTGTTCAGACTACTTTTCATCTCACACTAATAGCTGTTATATTTGCTATTGCAGATGAAATAGTTTCCACTTCCCACCAAATTGTCCCTTAATACACAATGAGAAAAATATTGTCATCAAGCAGTGCTCAAACCATGGCATTTAAAAAAACATTATCTGATTAAGAGAGGGATAAAATACAGATTTTAAAAATTACATAATACTATTTCCTTCCTTTAGACTTCCTCCTTCAGCAATGTATGACTATAATAAATTACCTCGATGAGGAACGAAAGTCAGGGTTCCAGCTCCCAGAAAATATAATTTATGTTCATTCTAAAAAGTACACAATGCAGTTCAACCAACCAACCTATTGGACAGACATCGCTTCCCTATTTCTGAAGACGCTATGATGGAAAATGCTGTGCTTTATATTTGTGTGTGTGTTTGTGTGTGGGTGTGTCCCTGGGGCCCACATTTCATAAACTTCCCAAAACGATCACTGATCTCTGTGGGATATCGACAAGATATCAAGGAAACCATCGTATCTTGGGACTCCAACAATTATTGATCATTATGGAATATAAAAGGGGTGAGAAAAAATCCAGCTTGGTGCATATTATTGTAATCTAACACAATTACATTCAGAGTTCATGATGAATTGCAGAACACTGTAGGCCACATCCAAGCATTGCCTCTGAGAGTCAGTACTCACATTGCCATTATGAAATATATGAATAGGTCTTATAAACTTCGTCTGTCTTATTATACTCAAAAACTCCGTCCTACAGAACACAGAGTCTGAAACCACACCAGAGATCCTCCAAATACCAGAAAGGGGTGGGGATAATGAATCTCTTTTAGTAAGAATAATAATTGGTTACATTTACTAAGTACTTCCCCTGTGCCAGGTACTATTCTATATACAACTGTGAACACATTTTTTTCTTCATGAAAATGGTTGGCATCAGTACTGTTATTTCCCCTTTAAAAATAAGGTTATGGAGGTACAGCATTTGTAACTTGCCCACAGTCACACACAGATTCCTTGGTGAAGAGTAGCCAAGCGTGACTTTTTGTTCGTGCCATCTGTGCATCTGTAAGGAAGAGCAGAGCTCCAGAATGGTACTGGTGTGAGTGACTCCTTCTTCCATGCTGGTTGGTCATTAAATGGGAATTTCTCATGGACCTCCCCAAGTTCTGCCTCCTTCCTGACTAGATATAGGAAGGTCAACCTGAACAAAGTGTTCAAGTCACAGTCTGTGTGACCCTAGAGAGAGCAAACATTTGAATAATTCCATGGATATAATGAGTTACAATCTATCTGTGTTTTCCAAAATTGATCTGGGAATTCTCTGAATTGGAGGAGCCTATCTGGGTCTCCTTTTGTACCTAGCATTCTCACAACCACTTTTTCTCACTCTTTAAAAGCAAGTGATTTCACTAATCCATTCACATCTTTCCATGTGAATCACTCTGATGAGAAAAATAAAAGCCAATATGCAAGGCCTAAACTTGAAATGCTGCTATCCATGAGGCCTGAAGTTGCCTTTAATCAAAGCACTTCAAACCCATTGTATGACTTGTTTCTCTTTTGTGTTTATAAATTTCTTTTCATGGAAAAGAAAGGCAGTTGACATGTATTCTAGCCGGTATAACCTTGGCCAAGCGTGATGACTAGTGACTGCAATCCCAGAACATTGGGAAACCAAGGTGAGCAGATTGCTTGATCTTAGGAGTTCAAGACAAGCCTGGGAAGCATGGTGAAACCCTTTCCCTACCAAAAAATTAAAAAAAAAAAGTTAACCGGGTTTGATAGCATGCATCTGTAGTCCTAGCTACTTGGGAGGATGAGATGAGAAGATCACTTGAGCACAGGAGTTCCAGGCTTCAATGTGCTGTGCTTGCACCACTGCACTCCAGCCTGGGTGGCAAGAGAAATTCTGTCTCAAAAAAAAAAGCCATTGGCTATTGATTATGAATATATGCATAATATATACATATTGATATGGTTTGGCTGTGTCTCCACCATGTTAGCCAGGTAGTCTTGAATTGGATAAATGATATAGTTTCTGTTAAATCTCTGTCCTCTTCATTAGTTCTTTTCCCTGCTGTCTTCACCACCTATTCTGACCAGTGTCTCCTCTGCATGGAATTCTTTTCCTTGGGTTTTGGTCAAATGTAAAGTTTTTTGTTAAGCCTTCTGTGAACACACTATTATAATTTAAGAGTTCCCTTACTACCCAACTTTACAGTTTAAAATACTTAACGTGGTTAAAACATATTTTTAATCTTTATATATTACATTTATATTATAGTACATCCTCACTTAACATCCATGGTAGGTTTTTGGAAATTGTAACTTCAAGGGAAAAGATGTACAATGGAACTATTTTTTTTTTCTCATCAATATTACAACAAAACAATGTGGAACAAAATGACCTAATTTGAGGACCAACTATACATTATTTCCTTAAAGTCACACTTTAAGAACCTATTGATGATGTTAAGTGAGACATTACTTATTTAATTTTTGTTTCTACCTGCTAGAACAAAAGTTTCAGGAAAGCAGGGATTTTTCATTTTTTGTTCACTGATATGTTGCAAGCTCCTACATCAGGAATTAGCTCAAAGTATATGTACCAGGAATATGTATTGAATGATAAATAGTCCCTTGCATGTAACTGAGAATAGAGCCAAACCTACCAGAGCTTTGGGAAATCAGAGCACAGAGAAAAGAACCACACACACACACACACACACACACAGAGGATGCTTTTAGAAAATGCGATGTTTTAATATAAATATATACTATTGTCATCTTTTAAGGGAGTGAAAGATGTACCACCCCAAAATATGCCAGAATGGTATATTGATTATTTTGAGTGGAAAACATTGAAGAATTTATAATTTCAGAAAGGATGACCTGATCTGTCTCTTCCCACATGCAGCCAGTGGTGAAGTTTCCTCTGGGATAGGCATCCTCTCATCTCAGGGCTAGCATGTGGCCCTTATCACCATGGACTTGAACTTAGAGACTACAGGGGACCTGAATAAACATACCTAATGAAGAATCCTTATCTTCCACGTGGTT